TTGTTCGTCATTCTAACTCGTCCTATTCATTTACACATGTTCCTGCCCTGCTATATCCTATATTCTATGCTGAAAGGCATTTCTATTCACATATTTGCTGCACCTGGCCTATAGTATCACTAAACAGGTGACGTGTCAGGTGTTCCTCAGCCCTAAATTTAACCAAACTATGCAGCAAATTGAATAACAGCAAAGGGTCCTGAGAGATTCAGTGCTGCCACCTAGTGTGCTGATGTAGAATAGCATCAGTTTGTTGAAGCTTTAATATACAGTCACCCTTTTCACCATGGCCTTGAATATACAGATCTTTGGCAGAGGCCATTTAAGCAGTATTCTCCAGCTGCAACCAAACCTTAAGTAGATATATACAGTATATACTATTGTTCAAACTACTGGAGAGTAAATGTTAACTCTAAATGTTTTACTGAAGTAAAAGTAGGCATACCTCCATATAAAAGAGTACTTTATTAAAAGCCCTGCATTTAAAATATTACTAAAAGTACACAACAACTAGCAAAAAGAATGACCCCATTCAGAGAGTTTATCATATACTGTATATTGAAATATTAATACTGATACCTTTAGATGTAAGCACCATTTTAATGATGTCACGGTGGAGGTAATTTCCACAACTCTCGTACAATAATTTAAGGAGTTTAAAAGCAGCGTATTTTATAAACCGATAATGTGTTTTACATGTAACTTTATCTGAAAAGTATATAACCAGCTGTGAAGTAAATGCAGTGGAGTAAAAAGTACAATATTTCCCTCTGAAACGTAGTACAAAGTAGCATAAAATGTAAATACTCAAGAAAAGTTGACGGATGTCCCTGCACGGGACCTTGGGAAAATGATGATTTTATATTAATCAGTATTTTATTTTTTTACACCAAAGATGATGGAAAGTGCTGGTTTAATGCAATGTATTTTATAAGCGTGTCCTACGTTTTATTTAATGTAATTTAACGTAGTAAAGTAACAAATAGGCTCTCAGATAAATGCTGTGTAGTGGAAGCATGAAGTAGCATAAAATTTAAATAAAGCACACGCAAGTACCTCAAAACTGTACAGCACTTGAGTAAATGTACTTGGTTACTTTCCGCCACTGGTTCCTCCTGTCGTTCCTCCTTCATTCCAGGAGTCGGGGATGAGACGTAGATCTCACCGCAGAGCAGCGATGCCGAGTATCACGGTGATGTAACTAAAGGAGGTTGTTGTGTAGAGTTTCCGCTCTTAATGTGCAGCTATGCTGAAACACGAAAAGTCCTCATCTTGCCTTTCTGCAACGTTTGTGGAAACTCTAAAAGCCCTAAACCTCATTTAGTGCGATAAATGTTCAACAAACCCCTTAAATACGTCCATCTACCCATTACTGCACAAAGTATAGGATTACCATTGAGCAGCGTTCATTTTAATTTAGTGGTACAAGATCTAAAAATCAGCTTATATTGCCCTTCAACACGACGCTCTACTGCTCCAATATGGTGAGAGATTTCATAGAGCTGTGTTATACAACCTTCTGCTTTGAGCTTAACTGAATATTTATACCCAAGTATCGAGCATAAGTATATGAAGTACAACCATGGACCACCACACCATCATTGAAGCAATATCCTCTCTTTTTGCATCCGATATGTTTCTGTTGCTATTTCTGGTTATTGGCTGCGGCGTATCAAACACTTTAGATACAATCGTTCCGTCCTCGTGCATTTGTGTCTAACCTGAGGCTTACATGAGGATGACTCTCCCTAGAGACTCCAAGGTTACGTCAAAGCCACTCACACATTTAAAAGTACATCCGGCACCAGGTTAGGACAAGCTGCACTCAGGTCATCATAACAAGCTGCTACACAGGAGGCACTCCTGAGCGAAAAAAAAGCACGAGTCAGGTCATTTGGTGATTGACAAAGAATTATTTTCTGAGGATGCAGCACTGCTAGAAATGACAAACAAGAGCTCTGCGACAATAAATGTATATTATGTCTTTATGCCGGCCTCCTTCATGCCCTGCAGCCTCTGCATTATTCAGTGAAGCCAGGATCTAGTGGCTATTAGAAGATGTACATCTCAAGAAGATTCTAAATTAGCTTCAACATTGAGTCATAGAGGTTGCTTCCTCATAGGAATGCAAAAGGAGACATTTATAACTTTCCAGATGGGTTTTCAGTGCTGCCTTTATGTAGGTTTTAATAGAAGACCATTATGAGCATGTAAATACAAATGGAAACTGCCTGATGGTGGTGCTAAAGGCAAGCTGATGCAGTCACCACATTCACAAAGTGTCTTCCACTTGTGAGCATCAATGTGTCCGAGGCACAATGAGACTTTAACTGTCACAGATGAACAAACGGCGGGTTGAATGCATTAGACTAGAACACCAATGTGCCTCACTGTTCCCTCTGGATCCAGATCATAAAACGTTAGGCCTGTTCCAGAACCCGATAGAAAACTGATAATTCACTCCTACAAATTCACACCACAAATGAGACCGTCTGGCTATACGACCGAACCAGAGAGAGGATAAAAGAGTGAGAATATTTGGTTATTCACTCCTAAATGTGCAACAGCTCACTCTCTCTCACACACACACACACACGCACACTATGAGTGTCTGGTGACGGCGCACCAGGATAGAGAGAAATACAAAATAGAGAAATATTGGTGTCAGCGCACCAGTGACTCATCAGACAGCAGACATACACAGAGCCAAAAACAGCCTATATTCGGCTGTACCGAATGTCATTTTTTTACAGTTTTGAGGTTTTTTAAATAAAACTTTGAATATCTGTCATCATATTTAATGCGTACGCGTACATAAGGTCTCATTTAGCCACTTGTTGGCAACCGCGTGTAAAAAGCTTCAGAATCACAAGAGGGGTATTTAATGACATGTTTTGTGTCGTAGAACAAAACGTTAAAATCTCTTACGCTTGTGTTCACCACAGACCTGATTTCAGGCTCCTAAAACAAAAACCCACTCAAAGAACCCCTTGACTTTGAGAGGAAGGGACCGGAAGTGCAAACAATTTGGAAATGTATTCCCGGGTTTTAGAACTCATTCCCACATGGGAGAAAGACCTGAGGGACAACTTCTCCCAAATTAATTTGCATTTTGAGTGATACAAGGTGTTCTTCTCGTTTTTGGAAACGTTGTAACAAAAGTCTGAATGTTTTTTAACCACGAGTGACTTTTGAACTGCAATGATTATACCTGCGTCTTGGTGTCCACATGCGTTTATCGTATTTTGTTTTTGTTGCATTTGATTTTGTTGTTTGTTTTGTACATGGACTCATGTGTCTGGAAAATAAAGTTGAACAACAATTCCTTCAGCACTCTTATGATTCGAACTTCAACGTTATAAATGAATTGTCTCTAAACATTCAGTACAGCCCTGTACGTTTATTGTATTTTAAAAGGAGGCACTTACTTTATTTGTAGACGTGGTCCATGCGCCTTTCCCTCTGGACAAAGATGTCAATGACTTTGTTGTTAAAGTCCTCCATGTTGGGTGTAATTCCTCAATTCCACAAGCCAAGGAGGAAAGTCTCTTCTGCTCCATCGATGCACTTTAATGCTGAATGTCCTCCACAGATGAGGGAGAAGGCAGTTAAAACCAGCTTCAAAAGTGTTGCAGCCTGCAGATTATTGTCTGTCAAAAAAAGGTAAGCAGCTGTGCAGGTGTCCATCCTTGGACTGTTTGTGAACAGAATAACCAAATCAGGCTTTAATCTAAACCAGATCAAATCATTGTGCATGTCTGGACAGGTTCTTCAGTTAGTTATCATCAAAATGAGCTACGCCAAGGAAATCCATCTCCTCCAGACCATCAGACCTGGCTTTGTACAGTCAGGTTGTCAAAAATGTGTTCCTTAGTTGTCCTCTTTTTGTCTGCCAACACATGCAAGAGTTCAACATATTGTTCATGACTGACATGGCTGCTGCTCTCCTCATTTAGCTCTAACTTGGCAAAACAAACAGGTAACATTTAAACGTGCTGGAGGAGAAGAGGACACGTGGAGAAGCTTGCTAGCCACATAGCCAGTCCTTTATTTTCGGTTGTTTTTAGGCCCTTCTGCCAGAACGTGCGCCAGGAAGCGAGAGGAAGTGGATGTCACGTGACGTGAGGCGGGGTCAAAAAGTCCTTTTCGCTTCGGAAGATTCCCACAACTGAGTGAAATGACCCGGAAGTGTCTGAGTGGCCGCCATGATAAGAGCAGTTTCTCCAAGGACATTTTTCCTTCCTTTCTTTGCTCCTTCAGCAAAGGACACACTGGAGCATCCTTTACCAAAGGAAAGAAGATAAAGCCGCCCCACAATTCCTTGCGGCGGCAACATTTAAAGTGACGCAACATTCGGCCGTCCATGTAAACAAACGATGTGCGCATTTTACACAGGTGTAACAATTATACTCATACAGTCATAAAGTAATGGGATTCATGTTCATGACAGTGACAACCATTTCGTTACATTTTATATGTCTTTATTTACTTCGAACAAGTAACAAATAAGTAAAAAAATAAAACAATAATAAATAAAATAGACAGTAAATATATATCTCAATAACAAGAAGCGTCAGTAAAAAAATAAATAGAATTCATAAAAATGATGAAGTATGAATATGAAGACGTTATTAATACATACAGCTATCATGTAATCTCAACATACATGTTTGGCTTTGGTGAGACAGAGACTACCCTGACCGCACATCCCCGATGCACACTGCCTCCCGTACAACACACTAGTCATAATAGTGGACATATGTGCAGTAAGCGGAATAATAAGAGTAAAGCAGCCTCATCAACAAAGTCAACACATATTTAATGAAGACATATTGTCCTTTATTAAAGGTCTAATTTGTTATTTTTTCTGATGTTTTTTATTTATTTGTATAGTTTAAGCATATGCTTCAGATACATGTGAAGTCGTAATCCAATAATGTGGCCTGATTTAATGCCTAAACTCATTTAATGCCCAAACAATGTCAAAATTAGAAACACAATTACATGATCTGTTAAACAGACAGAGACTTGATTAAGTTTAGAGTTCATGCATGAGAAGAGAGTTTCAGCTGTGACGTCAGTAAGTGGCACTCTTCCTGCTGCATCAATACACTTTGTTCACAAGGAGGCAGTGTTGTCTTTGTGTTGATTCAATTCAGAGAGGCACAAAGCAGCAATGTATTTAATGCATAGAATGTTGTATTTAAGAGCAGGATACAGTGTATAATATCAAGATATTACATCTATTAAGCAGCATTGAGTCTACATTTATTTGTTCAGCTTTTGTACTATACTGAATTTGAGTGCCATGAAAGGCCTTGAAGACCTGCATGGCATTGATTTAGATTTGCCTAAAATAATCTAAAGGTTATTCACAAAATAAATGTGGTTGTCCAGTTTGTAGCAGCCAAATAGCAGAAAACAGCTGTAACTTGAAAAAGCAACACATTTCATCGATCGATACTTTCAGTGATTTGACTCAACTTGCTAAACAAAAATGTAATTTGTATCGAACATCAAATAGGAAGTTGCGATATTAGCATCTCAATTATCAGCTGTGCAATTAAATGCAAACGGCGAATTCAAATGCCCTGGATTTGATCAATCAATCGTCTCATGCATCATGGCTTTTTCGATCCAGCTTGTGGAGTCGGGAATCTTAGTAAAATAAGTTAAATCATTTTCCTTATACAGAAAATACGTACTTCACCCGGTCCTGTCGCTCCCTCAGAGCAGTACATGTTGTCCAGAGCATATTTCTCGTTGTCACTAAGTGTGACAGTGACGTCCTGGAGTGTGAGAGACATTGACTTGTTGTTGGACCTCTCTGGTCTTCCCCAGCCGGAGACGAGACATGATTTCGGAGAGACATCATCTTTGTCTGCCAGAGCAATGGGTTTCACATTTTTGGTGAAATTTGCTTTGGAGCTCAACTTGAGAAACAGAGAGGGACGAAAAAGAATATATGTCAAATAAAAACATCAATCTGTAACATAATTGAATGCTCCTCTGGATTGATGCATAAAATAAAGTATTTGCTAATCACACGGGAAACAAAAGTTGGAAATCCCACATATTTCCCTACAAGTATGTTTTTAAATTATTTTTTCTTTTACCTTAAGAAGCATGATGTCATTTTTTTCATCGTGGAAGTCTTTATGTGGATATGCTTGCTTCACATTTAACTGCTGTACTCCATCTCGTTTATGGAAATTGTGAAGTCCTAGTAAGACGGTGTAGGACCTGAAATGAGAAAAGTGCAGAGAAGTTATGTGGGAGTATGGGGGGGTTCGTCAGAGCCCTGTATTCATTAAATTAAAAATATTAAAAGAATTTATTTCATAATTCACAACGCCGACATTAAGCATATTTTTTAGACTCAATGCAGGAGACTGGGCTGTTGTCGTTGTTGTTGAGATGAATCTCATCACGGGGCCCCAGGATTCACAGCCGATAATAGATGGAAGTTTGAAGTGTGTTGAACTCACTCGGCCTGGCAGTGGGCTGCAGTCATCACAAAATCCTCATTCAGAAGGAAGCCACAGCAGTAGCCAGTTTTACCATTGTCCTTGTGCATCTTCACAAGCGCCATGTATGGCCTGCTGTGCGGCACAGCCTCGTGACCTCCGATGACTTCCCCGGTATGAACTGGAAAAAAAAAGTATGAGAACTAGCAGCTCACAGTGGATAAGCATGGTGAGATCAGAGGCCAGCTGAGCTACTGAAAAGCAGTGGCTCACATCACTGACAGCTTCAGTCTTTAAGTACTTCCTGTATCAGGAAGAGAAGTGTTTTTTTATGAGTTTGAATATGCAAACGATGCGGCTTTAAACCACACATTTATTCACTTGCACTTGGGGAGCGTCCCCCATCACACTTAGCTGTCCACAGTTGCCCACCCAGTAACAACGGCCCAATTCTAATCCGGCCCCTAAACCCTCCAGAGTGTTTGTAGTCACATAACCATGATTTCGTAGCAGCGTCTTTCAGAACCTCAGCCTGTGGAGAAAAAAACCTCTCAAGCTTCTTTGGTGGCATTTCACTTTTTTCTAGACATCTTCTCGTTTTTAACTCTGATGTTTCATGAGCTGCTTGTTTTTTTTTTTTCAACAGACAAAATAATACACTTATATTGTCCCGTCCCAACCGAGGGGAACTGCTCCGATGGGTCCAGTGTTTATTTATTTTTGTTATTGATTCATCTATTTATTTATTGGACTTGGCCTGAATAAGCTGTGAGCCCTCCATTATTGGTAATATTTAATCAAAGTCTCCATTTCTATTCGTTGGAAGTACAATATTTATTTTCGGTACAGCAGGGTCTGATTCCAGTTTACTCTGGCTCTTGTGTATCTGTGTGTCACTTAGTCACATCCATTTGAAATGCTCTTGAACCGTTTATCTTGTTTGTAATCAACAGGAAGTTGAGATGAATATCATGAACCATTTCCTCTGTTGTGAGTTGTGAAAGAGCAGTACAGCTCCCTTTGGTTATCTCTCCCTTTATATTCATATTCAGAGACCTGAAGTGATGCCGGGGCCTTAACAGTCTCAAAGACCACGTCATTTTAGCATGCAGATTAGTTTATTGGAGTGGCAGGTTAGTGAATGAAGGGCCTGTTATAACAGCGTGCACTGGCGATACCGAGAGACTGACTACAGCATAGTGCTGGTGTTATTCCTGACCTAGACAGAACCTGACGAACATGTTGATGAAAGAAACCAGAAGCTTGTCATGACTTTTCTTGACTCTGGGAAAAAAACACCGTCTTTGGGAGGACGCACAGTGTCTTAGTCTGGAGTTTACATCATTTGTGATTGGTTCGAAAGGACTCGTATATAAATGCAGGTGTAAAAGCTGGATTCTTTGCTTTAGATAGAGTGGACAGTGTTGAGTTGATGAAGGAGATTGATCGGGTGAGGTGGTTTGATTTCGGTAAAAGGCGAAAGCTGGTGCAAGTTCCCTAGAACGTGCATGCTAATGCATGGCGTATGTTAAAGAGCTCTCTGGGACTAGTGCTGCTGCAGACGGATGGGCTGAAGGAGTTTAAAGAGTGGTTAGAGAGAAAGAGAGCTGTTGGCCATCAGAGGGAGACGTGTCTATCGCTCGGTGATGTGAAATGAAAGGCCCTTGTAGGTGTGACAGGTAATCTGTGGCCTTAAGACACATCAGTCAAAACGTAATGACCGGTGTCTGATTAAGTGTGTCTACTTAAGCTCCATTCAGACAGTGCTGAGTGCCTGTCCTGATCCACTCAATGCTGCCTGGCTGGACTTAGAATGGTTCATCATTGTGAGGCTCGCACCACGAGCAGACAAAGCAAGTTATACTTTGTGACGAGCAGTTGGGCCTTCTGAGGATCATAAAATTCTCAGTTTTGCAGCCCAGCTTTTGGTTTGGTTTCCGATTCACATGAACTACAGATGATGATTAAAACACATCCTCTGCCCGAGTTGCGATGCAGTAACATATCAACCGTTGCTTATCTCTTTAATTCTCTGGGGGATTTTATTTATGGTACATGTTTAGGGGCCAGAATCGCTGCATCGTGTTCCCCTTAGTTTCTTATTGAAGTATTGAATTTGACAATCACTTGACCTTTGGCCCTCGAGATCTCAGACTGGAAAGACATGTTAAAAGATGTATTCATTTGTACATTGTGACTCTAAATGATACTGGCTCACACTCAAAGGACAGTCAGGAAGACATGGGCCAATGCACAGGTAAGTTCAACCGACAAGGGCAAGTTATTATAATTGCCAGATTTGAAGTTAGATGTATGAACATGGAAGACAAGCGGTAACTTAAAGTGGGACAGATTTAGTCAGTGAAGTGTGATAAAAGCTTTTTATGCAATTAAAATGGGACCATTTGAACAAACCAGACCTTTCAGTTGACGACACATTTAGCAAAAATTAATAATTTTCACGATGTATTTAGACGGTGGTGCATTTTGCATATGAAGGTTTGTTTATGAGATATCGACTTGCATCTGTTTGACCAGCCATTGTTTCTGTCGCACTAAGGGACAAGGCCAGCAATACTGCAGCACAATTGAAGTGAAATAACGAGTAATCATATTCTGACATTGCTGGTAATCAACAAGCCTGTTCATGACATTTTAAGTGAGCTAACATGCAGCATTCATACACGTGTGTCATTTAAAGGGGAAGGTGCCCCCATTTCAAAATCAAAGGCAGAACTGCCGACCAAACAATCCCAACTCTTTGGCTCTTTGTGACTTCAGTAAGTGGAACTCTTCCTGCTGCATCGGTGCACTCTGTTCACAAGGAGGCAGTGTTGTCTTTGTGTTGATTCACGCTCAAACAGACAAGTGCACAGAGGTGCAAAGAGAACACGGTGAGAGAGCAACAGGTTATTGTTTCAAAAGATGGTACAAAACAAACTGTGTTCTCATTTGATCGAGTCAACAAGAAGATGCACAAAGCAGTCATTTATTTAATGCATAGAATGTTGTATTTAAGAGCAGGATACAGTATCTGACATCAATAGATATAAATCTGTGTAAAGCGAGGAAGTGCAGACTTTGGACACTCTCATTGCAATAGCATACGTTGTGATATTAGCATCTCAATTATCAGCTGCCCAATTTTATGCAAACAGTGAATTTAAATGCCGGGATTTGATCAATTAATCGTCACGTGCATCAGAGCTTTGGTCATGGTGGAATTGATCCAGCTTCTGTAGTAAGGAATCTTCATAAAACAATTGACTTTCGGGGCACCTAAGCGTGGATCGGATGGATCGGCCGCGAAGGACACCACACCGTACGCCTTTTCATCTTCACAGACCAGTGGGCCACCAGAGTCTCCCTGGAAGTACACACACACACACACAGTATGCAGCGATTGAATTGATTGTCATTGTTGACCAACGTTTGTTTGTCCATGTTATGTTACAGGAAATACGTACATGACCCACTCCTGTCTCTCCCATAGAGCAGTAGCAGTTGTGCTCAGCACACTGCTCGTCGTCAATAAGTGTGACATCGACCTCCATGAGTAGAGAAGAGATGTTTTGTGTCTTTGTTCTTCCCCAGCCGGACACTAGACATGGTTTTGGCAGAGAGACATCATCTTTGTCTGCCAGAGCAATGGGTTTCACATTTTTGGTGAACTTTGCCTTGGAGCTCAACTTGAGAAACAGAGAGGGAGAAACAACAAAAAAAGAATACACATAAGAGACTGAAATATTACTTTCAATGCTCTCATTTACCTGTTGTCGAATACATTCCCCGATTAGTTTTTGTTCAGTGACATGCATACTGTATTTGATTAATGTGTTCAATAGAGCTTTTGCAAATAACATAGTGATACATTTGTAATGGCTTAAATAGAGTAAAGCTTATTGATGCTTTTTAAATGCAAGGATGTTCTTACCTTGAGAAGCATTATGTCATTTCTGAAATCATTTGCATTGAAGTCTTCGTGTGGAAATGTTTGTGCCACAGATATACGCTTTTTTCCATTACTATTCTGGACATCGTGAACTCCTAGTAAGACTTCGTAGGACCTGAATTAAATGGAGAAAAAAACGTTATCCAAGAATAAAATTATAATTTTTCACAAAATAGAAATATTAAGACATGAATTTATGTCTCAATTATTGAAGCCATTATGAAACATATTTGCCAAATAATATAATTTATTGGTATCATTTAAATTGAGGTCTCAATGGGGCCCCAGGATTAGTAGGTAGGTAAAAGGTAAAGTGTGTTGAACTCACTCGGCTTTGCAGTGGGCTGCAGTCATCACAAAATCCTCATTCAGAAGGAAGCCACCGCAGTGGGTAAGTGTACCATTGTCCTTGTACATGTACAAAAGCACCATGTATGGCCTGCTGTGCGGCACAGCCACATGACCTCCAATGATTTCACCTGCATGAACTGTGGGATTTAAAAAAAACAAAAACATTTATTATGTACACCTGTACAAACTAATGCAATTCAATGCGATTATTCTGCCATAAAGTCTGCTTTCATGATGGCTACGTCTGCTTTATTTTATTATTGTTAGGTCTTATAATGTAGTCCAGTACAACACCACCTTTGACCTCGTGCATTGTTTGTCCCACAGTGTGGAATGTCGTTCTTCGTGACAACCTGAAGATATAATCAAACGTACAGCTGTGAAAACATTACAAAACTCACCTCGACCATCAAGAGTCAGCACAAGTATCGCTATTAGCAGCTCACAGTGGATGAACATGGTGAGATCAGAGTCCGGCTGAGCTACTGAAAAGCAGTGGCTCACATCACTGACAGCTTCAGTCTTTAAGTACTTCCTTTATCAGGAAGAGAAAGACGCGTTTGTGTGCTTTGCATTATGCAAACGATGTGGTTTTGAACCACATTTATGAGCAGAGTGTCTCAGTCAAATCCAGAACAGTTCGATTTTCTTAGTACAATTGGTGTAAAACTCATTTTAGTTCATGGGCCACATGCGGCCCAATTTGATCTCAAGTGGGCCGGACCAGTAAAACAATATACATAACCTATTTCCCTTTATTTTAGTGTTAATAAGTACATTTTAAAAATATTCACAAAAAAATGAACAATCCATTTACAACACACGTTGAGAGCTTGAGATGTCTCAACGATCTCTCGGCTATCACTGAAACAGAATTCTGTTTCCTCAAAAAGAATTCCTATATCTTCTCTGTTCTCAGTTCTCCTTGCAAGTTATTGTATATTTTTCGCCAAGATGAGTCAGATGGTGGCGCAGAATATTATATTCAAAGTATATCAAAGTTCAAGGTGCCATGTTTTTACTTTGTAAGGGTAGCTGCAGTATGCACTAAAAGTACAAAAGAAGAAGTATGCGATTTGGAACGCAGTGACTGTGTCGTCCTGCGTGAACAGTAGCCTACACTCGACAGAGTTGTGTCATGTAGCCTGAACGTGGGCTACTTGCGCAAGCCTCCATAGATGGCACGCGAGCTGCGAGCGCACAACCGCAAACGGCGTTTGTGCTCAACGCACTGTTCGTTGCAGTATTCTCTAAAACAAAATGTTCAGGGAAGAAGCAAGAAAACAATGAGTGTAACCGGCAAAATGCCATAAACCAGCCTCCACAATGTCTCCGACCTTTATACGAGCCCTGTAATGAAAGAAGACAAATATTAAATGTATTATCATGAAATAAAAGTTGAATATCTTGTAAATAATTTGATTTGATGGCAAATATAAGACCTCATGGTTTCTAAAGCATTTAAAAACATATTAGCCTTCTATATTAAATCCTCTGACAGATGTGTAGTTATTTTATCAGTCAACTATTTGACAGTCCTGTCTAGAGCTCCAATTGCGCGCAACTAGTTGCACAAACTCAGAAGTGCGCAACCAAGCGTTGCACCAATTTGTGGAGTCTTCGCGAAAGACGCCCAATGTCGTGATGGCGTCACTTTCCGATGCACGCCCCCTGCGCCGCCTTCACTATGGAGAGTATAAACCAAGATTTATTAGGACAAACGGATAAATAGTTTTCAAAGTCATCCAGCAGGCCGGTCTGTTTCAGGTCCTAGGGCCGTATGTTTGACACCTCTGCTTTAGACAATGTGTAGTCAGGTAGATAAAGGTGTATGCGTGTTACATACACAACACGTAATCTAATATTTGAGCTGGGATGAAAAATATGAACGTGGTAAGAACCATGACACAAAAGCTGAATTCATTTTTCAAGTCGAGACTGAGGTTACTCTTCCACTGAAGGCTCAAATATCTATCTAATATATCAAATCCCTTTTCCATAATTTAACATCAAATGAAAAATAAACCACCTCTTAATTATATCCGTGACCGCAGGTGAACTTCTAATTGAGTCAAATGTTGCAGGCTTGAGCAGCTTTCAGACCACTGTGGTGAACTGTGATATTATTGGTCATAACTCATCCACTGATGCGTTTGCGGTAACGTCAGCAGCCTGGAAGATCTCCGTCGGACGTTCAAAGCCGTGGCTTTCTCAGAGGAGCCTCTATGTCTGTCACGCAGCCCCGAAGGTAACATTATTCTGATGTTATCGCGTCATAAGACGGTGTGTAAAAATAGCATTTTGTATGAAAGTGTGGTTGGTGGAAAGTGGAAACGTGCCCCCCGAGCTACCAGAGGAATGAAGAAGTCATTAGTCTGTTGGAGGGAAAACCAGATCAGTCGGCAGATTCTGTAAAACCAGCATTATAGTAAAAGAATATTTCAGTCGGGCTTTTTCTTTTAAGCACGGAGCCACTATAATCATTTCTTTATTAGAAAAATTTATTCCAAACATAAATCGAAACACAATTCCTTATGCGTGTTCATAGCTCGTGGGCTCTGCAGAGATATTTGTTTCAGCTTGGCAAAAATAAAGGAAAACACACTTTGTGAGATACTGACTGCTGTAACCAGTGAGAAGGAAAGGAGACCTGGATATTAGCTCAAGACATTGAATGAAGCGCTGCAAAGGAAAGATATGAAGAGATGTTGTTGTGGTGACTATATAAGCCATTCTCAGTCACTGTAGTCAAGCCTAAAGTATGAAGCTTACTGACCACAGACATGTCTCACTTCCTCAGTCTAGACTCAAGTATGTCCCTCTTGTATCTTCGTCACAAACTTTATCGTCAGTGTTTTGATAGATGGACAATAGAGCTTTCATGTGTTGGAGAAAAGGGGGAGCAAAAAGGAGGAGGTGGAGGGAGGGGGGAACAGGTTTTTTGGGATGCGAGCTCCTGGAGTCCAGGGCAGTAATGGGAATCACAGGAGGGGATGCAGAGAGGAACGCTGTCTTTACGGTTAGCCCGTCGCTTTTATGGGGACCACGGGGCTGAGAGGCCTGCTGGCTGGTTTCACCATCGGCCACGGCAACAAGGGACGAGGAAATGTAATAACAGCCACGAGAAACCATCAATCACAGTACAAATTACATGTTTATTAAGAAAAGAACGGCAAAGGGACAACAATAAAAGCCAACAGACAGAGAAGCGGACATTCCCAGAGCAGCGATGATAGATCAAAATGAGTTTAACAAAATCACATATGGTAACTGAGGTTTACAGCCTGAGAGCCACGCCGACACTGTTCCTGATATTAGCTGACTCGGGTCTTACAAAAAATCTTATTTTGCAAAAATATAGTCAAAGAGTCACTGAACTTTATGCATGTTCACGTATATGGGTCGACATTGTACTCAATACAGACTACATGGCAGGAAATGACAAGAACAGGAGTTCCTATTTCACGCTAAATAACTTATATATTGTTGTTTCATTCATATGCCACTTAGTGAATCTGGGCTGGTAGACCACCAGTTGTCTTTATAGTACAATATGAGCAACATGAAAACAAACAAAGCATATGACACAACACATGCGGTAGACAGAAACAAACTGATGCAAGAGAAAGCAACAACAACAAAAAGAAAGAAAAAAGCATAACGTCTGGCTTAGATTTTCTTGTTACTCGTGTGTTTAGCAGTTTGCGTGGTCTTCATCGACTATCTGAAATCTAAACATTGTGACGACCCTCCTCCTCCTCCTCCCATATACCAAGTGTCCCTGTGTAGCTAATGATGTGTTGCAGGTGCTGATTAGAGGGACGTCAGCTGAATGAGCCACACCTGAGCCGGTGTGGCTCGGCCTTAAAGATCCTCAGTTGGCAGCCTCGGGTGACAGGAAGGAAGACCTGTGTTGACGGGCGCGCCACAGTTGCTGCTTTATTTGTGAAAGTGCTATTAAACATTGTTTTATGTGTTTTTGGCGAGACAAATAAATGACTACTTTTGGCCGCCAGCTCATTGTCTCCCTGGTTTGTTTCAGTCTCTGAGCCGGGCTGTGACAACATATAAGAGAATATTTCAGTTTTTTTTTAAAAATTAAGCAATTTCACTTCCAAATTCAAACAACTTGCGAGAAAACTGTTTGCAGCGTTCAGTTGTGTGCGAGTGTTTCCAGTAAGCGTGCACATCCCCACATAGCGCCAAGAACAATTAAAAAAAAAAAATATTCTATCTGGCTTCAAATGGTAGAATAATAAGTAACAACAACCACCAAGGAGGTTTCCGCTCATGAGTTAATCTAGAATTATATTAACACCTCTAAAGTTTCTCTGAAACACTGCTGCCAGCAGGTTGGGTTTCGTCTCAATCTGTTGCACCATCTTCCACAAAACCATATTTTACTTTTTGATTTCATACTTGTACTTTTATCAGTTTCATTATTACACTATAAGCCAAGTTGTAGAGCAGAGTGTAATTTGAAAGCTGGATGTGTACAAAAACAAAGTTTAATCAAATGTAATCATTTATGAGTTTTAGGTAAAGTATTCAGGTTTTTACAGGATTTACTAACAATGCAACACTTTTACTGGTTTCATAAGAACTACTGCACTTACTTAAAAGGCTAAATCTGGTGCATGCATTCAATCATTTTCTTTCCGTCTGCAATTTGTGGAAGAAAAGTCTGTTCCGTCATTAAAATAACACATTCAGAGGACTGTGCAGAGGTGTGTGCACTGTATCAAAGAATCTAAATGATTGAAAACTTGAATCAACATGATTTTTCCACTGAATAATTTCAGACTTAAAATCAAGAAATAACACATAAAAGAACTGAAACAGCCCCAACAATCTGACAACTACTAGATCAGGCATCACTAAAAAAAAAAAAAGCATCTAGGTTTGATTTGAACATTAATTTCAAATAAATAAATAATAATAAACATACAAATATTGTCTGTGCCATTTCTCACAGGAGCCAGGGTCATGGATGTGACATTAGACCACGATGAGCTGCCATCTTTGTTGCGATATTGATGTCATTTACTCTCCACTGAACAGGAAACTGCAGAGCAAATGAAGCATGCAGGCGTGTGGCGACCAAGAGATGAAACGATTGAACAGAAAAATGCATTTTCTGCTTTGCTAATGCAGAAGAAATAAACAGACTTTTCCTGAAGGTTTGTCAGTGTGTTGGCCTCATGTTTTAAGTCTGCATAGATAATAAGTGATGCATTCATCATCAATATGTTCACAAAGAGAAAGGTAATGCTGCAGCAGCTGCTGATGCCTGCAGAGGGTCTATAAGAGGAGAGAGAGTAGAAAGCATTCTGGGCTGCACCTGTGATTTCAATAACATCAATTTCCACATGAATCTTCTTCAAAATAAACTTCTGTGTTCACAGGAAGTGGACAGTTTCTACTCGCATGCACACAGCGTTTGTTTTTAGGTGTACTCGGTTAGGTTTAGGAAAAGATTGAAGTTTGGGTTCGAATAAGTACTTTTTTAACTTGTGTGCATGGCATTAGTCAGGTACGTGAGTTACGTAACAACGGTAA